TGGAAAAACATCCTTTTAAAAATAATGTTGACAAGCTGGAGCAGGGCTGACTTGTTTCAATAAGCTGTTATTTTGAATTTTAAAGCAAAAACAATAACAGCTGTTCAGAATTTCTATTTTATATCCTGTTAATGTATATATTTTAAATACATGTCAGAATTCCTCACTGGAGGCAAATACAATATTTATGGGAAGCGAGCGAGAGACTTCAAAACCCCTCCACAGACGCTAAGCAGTCGGTTTATTCACGGGTTTAGAATAATTCAGGAAAACAGAGTGACAAAAAAGTATTTTTCCCACCTTCCAGTCTACCCTTTGCCCATGCCGCACGCCCTCCCCACAAGGCTTCTCCTGCAGCAGCTTGGCGGGGGGGGGGCGAAGCAGGTGCCCCTCCAGGTGTTGCTGGCCTGCCACTTTCCTCATCCCTCACAATGACACGTGCTGGCTGGGGCTGCTGGGCCTTGCAATCCAACAAGATCTGGGGGAGCTGCACATCCCGCACTCTTGCATCGGGGCTAGGGCGCGGGGGTGTTGGGTGGTGCTGAGCTCAGTTCTAAACCGCTTGGGCTTGCTTAAAAAGTCACAGGCTGTCTTTCACAAAGGGGAAACGGAGTCCTGGACTCGTTAAGAGGTTCCCCCGCCTTGGCCCCTCGAAACCAAGAAGGACCAGGTGGAAGCCACTTGGAGGAGGAGGAGGAGGAGGAAGGCAGGAGGAGCCCGGGAAGGTGCTGGAGCAAGCCCTGTTTGGCCTTCCCACCAAACGAACATCTGCTTTTGAATCACCCCGAGCCACAGGAGGGGCTCGTGAGCAGGACTGGGAAGGCCACTGGTGCAACCGAGCGCTGGAGAGCAGGCAGGACAGAATGGAGTGACCCGGCTGCATTCCTCTGGAGGTCACCCCTGCGAGGCGGGCTGGGCCGTCCGCCTCATGCCGGCTTGCCTGCCTGGGGACTGCCGGCTGCACCTGCAGAAGGAGCCGCCGCAGCAATGGCTCAACAGCGCTAACGCTTCCCAGCGTGGGCGGGGGGGGGGGGGGGCCCGGGGGGCCCGCCCAGGGGGGGGCGGGGGGGGGGGGGGGGGGGGGGGGGGGGGGGGGACACGCAGGCCCTGCTGCGCTGAGCTTTGGGTGGGCTGCAGGTGAGCTTGCAGGAAGGCTCAGAGGCAGTATCGATCCCTCTGCGAGGATGCCGCGACAGGAGCAGAGGGACAGAGGAATCCCGGAAGCACTGGGGACGGGGATGGACCCGGCCAGAAGGAGACAGCTCTGGGCCTGCGCGCCGCAAGTCATAGAAACATAGAAACAGAGCGAGTCAGAAGGGGTCTCCCGGGCCATCTAGTCTGACCCCCGGCTCCAGCACCGCGTGGGGCGGTTTGGTGAAAGCGAGAGCCGCGTGTCAGCCACACGTGGGTGCTACTTCAGCCCGTAGGTCCAGATGGCCTCCCCTGCGGTTCCATGGGGATGTGAAATCACGCGGGAATCGGACAGGGCTCCCCGGCACCCACTGTGTGGCACAGAGCAACCGCCCCTGGCATGGCTGGTCAAGGAGCAGCAGAACCACTGCAGTGCAGGGCCCTGGTTCCTGGCCCACCCAGAAGGATGCCCTGGCCGCTGGTATCGAAAGCCGCTGGGAGGTCCCGGGGAATCAGCGGAGGCAGGCCCCCGCCCTTCTCCCGGCAAAGCCGTCCCACAGGGAGACCAAGGCAGCTTCCATTCCAAAAATCAGGCCTGAAGCCTCGTAGAAAAGGATCTAGACAATCCATTTCATTCCAGCGCGCCTGGAGCTGTTCAGCTTTTCCTGTCCGGAAAATTACCTTTCTCCAAATGCAAATGGACATCCAGGGAAAATTACTCAGAATGGCAGTCCAGGGTTCCTGGAATTCGGACCGGGGCCAGGCTTGCTTTCATCTTATTTTTCAAAAAGGTGTACTGCTAGGCACATACAGGATTGGTTTCATTTTTCAAATATTTTCCCTATTTCACAGCAGAATGTTTTATTTCCTGCATTTAGCATCACGGCAGTGGAAGCAAACGCAGTTTCAGTCCTGCATATAGTCATGCTGGAGTTGTAAACCGAGCTTAAAACGTCAGACTGTGCCTGCTTGCTCTTGCTCTCCCGCTTCTTGATCCAGGTAGGCGAACTATTTTTTAATTTGGTTTACTTACTCCAGCACCCATCAGAAGGAGCAGTGTCTGTTGTGCGCTTCACAAGCGATTTAGTGTGCGCACGGCATCCTCTGGAGAAACAGTCAGCCGTGCCTGGGGCCAGCCCAAGACAATCGCCACGAGAGGCGAAGGCGGACGAGATGGGCCCTTCCGGACCCACGTGCAGAAACTGATGAGCCGACAAATCTGTCTTCCAGACGAACATTGAAATTAATCTATTCAAATGGATGTGGCCGTGTGTGCCCCTTTCACGTCGCTTCATTCTGGAGCAATACCAGAAGAAACGGAGTTTTAAAAGCCCATGCAGAGGCTTTTGGAGAGGGGTCGTCCCTTAAGGCAGCGCTTCCCAACTTGTCTTCCTCCAAGGGCACTGGGCAGGGCTGCTGCCTCCCCCAGCTGGTTGACTGGGAATGATGGGATGCATAGTCCAATATATATGCCGGGTGCCTGGGTGCCGAGCCCCCAGGGTGGGGAGGGAGGCGCCTTTGCACAACATCACCTTGGCCGTTGTTTTCAAGAGGCTGTCTCTGTGACGCAAGCCAGCACTGCTCTTGCAGCACTCGGCAGGCTGGGAAAGCCCAGGGGGCGCGTCTGTGTGGCGGGGGGGGGGGGAGGAGGGTGGCAGTGTATTTCCAAGCACTTTGCCCCCGGAGAGGGAGGCAAGGTGGAAAGCAGCCAGGGAAATGTGCCTGGCAACAGAGAGCAGGTGGCTCTGAGCGGAGAGGGGCCACAGGGACGGCATGGGAGGGAGGCGAGCCCAGCCAGCTGGAAGCCACGGATGGGCAGGGCGGCCTGCTGGGAACAAGGGCCAGCCCCCAAGGTGGCCTGGCAGCGTCCCCCTGCTGGCTGCCTCCCCAGGCCGAAGCGGAGGAGAGCCGCAGCCACCGTGCCCCAGGGCATCCTCCACTGGACTTCGCTGGAGGGCCTGCATCCGCCTCGCCTGGAGAACAAGCAGCTCCCAGACCGGAGATGTTCTGTTTCTTCCACACCTCCTTGGCTTCACTCTGGGGCTATTGTTTGGGGTCGCTGCTGGGGGCCATCCGAGCGCTTCCAGGCCATGGGACGCAGCCTTCGGCCTCTCTCCCCGCTCCCCTTTGAAGCGGGAAGGAGCGTTGCAGATGCTCCAGTGTGGCAAAACAGTTATTTAGCCCCTTCCCCTTTTGCTTTGTGTCCACGCAATTCCCGCTGCTTTTGGGGGGGCAGGGAAAGGTCCAGGTGCACCCCGCTAATGTGGCACCACGGTGCTGTGGCACCCTCATGCAGAAGGCACAGAGAAAACCTGCCCTGGGGTGGGATGGCTGTGGAGACGGAGAATCTGCCTCGGTGCTCCAGAACAGCTTCCGTACCCCCCCCCACAGGGAGGGGCTGCTGCCTGCCTCCCTGGAAGCTAATTGCCTGCAATGTATCACAGCACTTCCCCTCATCAGAGGTCTTCATACGGGTGCAGGCGAATACCAAATCGGCTGCGCTTCACCACAGGTCTGTGAAGGAAGAGCCCGGCCAGGTGGGAATGCAGCTGGGAGGGAAATCCAGGTGCTTGGCCTCTTTACCGGCCCATCATCTTCCTCACTAGGCCAGATCAGGGAACAGAGACCATTTCTGGGGAAATGTCTCCCTCCCTCCCTCCTTCATTGGCACACGCCCTGCCACCGAACCCCTAGCAGACCCCCCCTGGCTTCCCACCTTCGCTGCTGCTGCAAAGGCAGTGGCCGCACAGGTGGGCATTTTAGCCACCCCCCGCAGAATCCTCAGGCCTTCTCCCTTATCCAGAGAAAAGGAGCTGGCCAAGTGCTGGCAAGCATCTGGGTGGGGCAGCAAGCCACCTGCCCCGTCCTCTGACCCTCTTCCACGGGCTGCCCAGACCCCGAGAACTGCACGGCATTCGAGGCCGTCCTGCAGCAGGCCGTGGCAGGGGATGGTTTGCCGGGGTCCCCTGATCCCACCACTGAGGACATGGGCTGGCCTAGGGGGCCCGGAAGAGGGTCCCCTGCTGGCCCCCCCACCACCGCCTCCCAACACCTGCCACCCGAGGCAGTTGCACCACCCCACCTTATGGTAGGGCCGGCCCTGCTTGGCACATCCAGCCAGAGCCGCATCACAAGGCTGGTTGAGAAGAGGCAAAGCAGGCGGGGGCAGAAGGGCCACCCAGCTCTGCCCCTCTTGTCGGGGCACATCACCCACCTGCCTGCTGCCCAGCCTGCCCCAGCCTGGTGGCCCTGGGGCAAGCGTTCAGGGCAAGACTCTGCTAGCAGGGGAGCGCCAGCCCCCGGCATCGCCGCTCTTGGATTCTCGGACATGGCCGCAGGTTCTCTCCCTGGAGGCCCGGCTGCTGCCCCCCAGCGTCTGCCTGCTGCCCCACCTTGCTTCGGGGCTGGGTTGCCGCTGCTGAGAGCTCCCATGCCAGATGCAACCCGCCCTTCGCAACTGGTCCGTGGCATCTCCTCCGGCAGAGGCTGGTGGGATGGGGCAACCTCTGCTGGGATCTATCCATGGTGCTGAAAGCCACCCACCGTGGGTGCAGCACCTTTCATGTTCGGCCTGGGCCCGGGCGGCATTTGGGCAGTGCCAAGGACGGCTCCCCGAGGCCTCCTTGCTCTGTCCTTCCCCTGGGGCCCAGCTTCTTCCCCCTCTTTCTTGCCATACTGCAAGCTTCTGTACCATTCCCCTTACTCTTTCTTGGCTCCAGCACCCGAAGCTGTGCACCCCGGTCTTTCCACCAGCAAGAACATGGGGGGTAGTTTCCATAAGTGGTTTTATTACTGGTTAGATTTTTACAAATTCTGATAGCTGAACAGACTTTTCCACTTTTTAAAATTCTAAAACATCAGAACAACCAATGAAGGGCTTAGGACTAATTCAAAGTAACAAAACTCTTATCAACATTTTCTTCCTTTCGTTCTGTTTTTCTCCTTTTTTGTTTGTTTGTTTGTTCTTTGCCCTGGTCATAAATATACAGAGAGGAAACAGTGGTGGCCGGGAAAAATGTGAGTTTGGGGAGATACGTGATCGAAAGAACGGGGGAACAATATATAAGGCACATGGGCAGTCTTTGAATCTTACAGAAGCTTTCGCCAACTTAAATTAAACGCGGTTTCCCTTGCCCCGTCCACGGATCTGTACACTGACACAAATGTTGTGTGGCAAATCGTTCCTCCGAGTTAATCCGCCGTCCGCCGTGGCTCCCGCACCAGAATGAGCCACGCGGCTGTTCTCCCGCTGCCCGGAAAGATCCTAAGTTGTGGCTAGTCCCGCTGTGAGAACTCCTCTAGTTTAGAAAATACACTTGGAATTCAACTAAGAGTAATCTCCTTTTTAAAAAAGAAAAAGAGAGAGAGTCATCAGAAAAGGTTTGTCAGTGTTGTCTGTGAAGGGCTTCGCGACTCGTGGACTTCCAAGGGCCCAGGCACCGAGCTCAGGACGGAGGTGACCGATGGCATACTGGGGTTTGTCAAGTCCGTGAGGGTGGTTGGGGTGCTGGACGGGCTCATGGAGGTGTTGGAGATTTCCGAGGCGGGGCCCGACGGCGTGCCAGCTTGGAGCGTCGCGTCGGAGGTCTTGTCCACCCCCGTGTTCTCCTGCCGTAGGAGGTTCCGTCTGAATTTGGCCCTCGCGTTTTGAAACCAGACCTACAGCCGTTCCACGGGAAGGGGGAGAAGAAGAGACAGGAGTTATGAGGGTCTGGGTTTGTTTCTGGCCCCCGTGCAGCATGGAAGGCCTGCATGATGGCAGCTCCGGCCTTCTGAGGGCCTGGAGCGAGAGGCTTCCGGGGCCCTTCACCCCGTGACTCGTGGCCGTGCCCACCGGCCCCTCGTGCTCCTGGGCCCTTCCCTCACCTGTGCAACACTTGCTGGTCTGGCTGGGCACTTCCTGCTCACCTCCCCACCACCACCGTTGTCGAGGGCAGAGCAAAAATCAAGGGACAACACAGCTTGCAATGGAGGAGGGGAGGAGGTGTGCCAGGGACTCTGGTCAGTGGCCTTCTGGTGGGCCACCGCTCTCCCTGGGGTCAGCCACATGGGATAGATCCACAACCCAGGTAGCTCAGGTGAGCCCCTGGACTCCAGATGCCAGGGGCGCCTCTCACCCAGGCAGCCGATTCCAACAGCGCGCCTTCCTCGGCAAGAAGGGAACTGCATGCCCCCCCTTGCAGAACCAGCCTTACGGTTCTGTTGTAATGTGCAGGAAAGCAAATTGCCCCAAGAGCTTCCAGCAGAGGGTGACCGCAGTCCTATCGACGCCAGGGAGATCCATCCAGCTAAGTGGGAGCCGTAACCCGCGTGTCACACCCTCGTGGGCCTGGCACATGACGGGCTGCTTCTGCTGACTTGCAACAGAAGGGGATCTAAGACCATTGCGGGTGCTGAAGTGAAAGGGTTTGATGAAGGGGTGTCAGGCAGCAGAAGCTAAATTAGTGGCCAATGGACAGCCTTTTATTGAGTTTTGAAAGAGAGGACCACGAAACGAACACTGGCTGTTCCGCTTGCTGTAATATGGATGCTTTATCAACATAAAATAGGTATCTGTATTTATGCTGCCTGGAGCCATATTTTATATCATGGATTGTAATTATCATGTAAATTTTAAATGCACACTAATAAATATTGATAACGGCTGGGCAAAGCTTATCTCAGTGTTTGGAGCTTTTGGAGCGAAGGGGGTGATAGGAAATGCAATTGCACGTTATGGTGAAAAACAGCGACTCTCAGCATCGCATCCGGCTGAACAAAGCTGGCCCATTTCCCTGTTGAAGGCAGGCTCCAACACCTTGTGACGGCCTGCCTGGAGCACCCTCAATCGTGCCCGGGTTTCTTCTCCTGTTCTTGCAACGCTTCCAACGGGTTTATTATTTTGCATGCTTTCTACATACCCTCTGCATATTGCATTTTTGATGTAACCCGCTTACAGACCAGGCAGCGTAAAAGTAGGTTAGATGAATAAATGATACGCCTTGTTTTTGTTTGGTTCTGAAGCCGTCGGCTGGATGGCTCAGCAGCGCTGCAAACGCCCTCTCGTGTGCCCATCTTCAGCAGGAGAGGAAACGTGGCAGGAGAGGGAGCCAGGGAGGAGAGAGGCCGGAAGTGCCTCTGCTGTGCCTTCTCCCGGCCACTTTTGTCTGCCGTGTTTGCCCTGTCGCCGGAAAGCGGCTCTGGAGTGATTCTCTGAATTTGTACACGGCCCGCAGATCCAAAAGGGTTCTGCACAGCTGGAATACATGCCTGGCTGGGAAGCCTTCCACTCTGGACTCTTGCAGTTGCTGCCACGTCGGTGGCGTTCCACAGGTCTGGGGTCTCTACGCAGCCGTTGTGGCAGCAAGCGCAGGGGTCTGGGACCTGAAGCCCCCACTAGAGTTTACTGGAAGGCGGCCCTCGGACTCTTGTGCTGCGGTGCATGCCTGTGGATGGCCGGGGACAGCACTGCAGCTTTTCCCCAGCAAGACAGGCTGTCCAGCTGGCTGGTCCACCGGCCCAGAAAAGCTCTCACACTCTGGCCGTTTGGGAGCCTTGGCCGGCAAAAGCCTGGAGCACCTCACGAGGCTGGCGGCTTCATTCTCACATCCCCTTCAGCCACTTTCTCAGAGGCAGGAAGAATTTGATGCTCTTCGCGGCTTTACAGGACCGGTGACTTGAAGTCGCGCAGATTTATCCTCCGAAAGTTCATCTCACCTTCTTTTAAGCCACGCAAACTTTTCTACATCTTAGTCTCCTTCCTTTTGGGGATGGGACCGCAAGACCAGACTTAGTCATGGGTCTGAACATGGATTGCAATGGTTTGCACAGTCAGGTGCGTTCCGTGCTGCTCACCTGGAAGCCTTCGCCTTCAGAGGCTTCCAGGTGGTCCTCCTTTGGAATGAGCCGCAGCGGCATGCCCATATTTTATCCTGCCATCTGCTTTCAGCTGCTTCAGTAAACTGCCAGCGAGAGGGAGGGAAGGCAGCAGGAACCGGTGCGAGTTCTCAGCCCCAACCTCCTCGCCTCTCTGCCCCACAGCAAGGTACTCCCGGCCCCCCCACCCTTCTGCAACCACGAGGAAGGCAGCCAGCATGGCCTGCTTTGCACTAGCTGCAGGGAGCTGGGTGTGCTTGTCCATTGGAGCCCCACCTCCGACACTGCAGGATTGTGGACCCGGGGTGCAAATAATTTTCAGTGGTGGCGCCCCGACTCTGGAACTTGCTCCCCAGGAAGGTTCGCCTGGCACCATCGCTTTATTCTTCTCGGCATCCGGTGAAACCCTTTTGATTGCCCTGGCATTTTAATGTTTAATTGGTTTTATTCTGGGTTTTATTATTGAGGTTGGATGCAAGTGTCTTGTTTTGTTCTATATTTTCATTTTTTTTCTTTCCTTGTAAGCCATCCCAAGACGCTTGCAGTGGAAGGCCTAGAAAAGCTTTAAATAAACAAACAAGCAAATAAATAAAGCTATGGCCTTTGAGTCGTAATGCCTGGCAAATTGTTTTTAAATGTTGCATATTAAAAAATGCAGAATTTTACTGCAGGGGTGGCCTGCCTATAAACCATGCAGGGAGCTTCAGCTAGCAAGAAGTTTTGAAATGCAATGAAATGTGATGAAACGCAAAATAGTCCCACATCTGTGAACCCCCAGGCTGCAGAAGGTTGCATCCTTCTCGTGATCCATCTCAAGTGTCAGTTCTTGCATAGCCAAACTAGATATCAGCAGGTGAAGGGTTTACAGAATACAGAAAAGAATCTTTAGCCAAAAACCTCAACACAGGAAAGATGTGTTATGTATAAAAATCAGCGAGCTGCTTCACCCCCTTGTGATGTTTCTCGGCTGACACAGGCCACACTCTTCCTTCGGTGTTGTTTTTGTGCATTCACGAGTCGTTTTTCATCCTGCCTGGAAACTGCCCAAGGGCCAGGAAACCAGAAGCTGTCGGGGCAGCGGGAAGATGCAGGGCCGTCGCAGCAGCCATTTGTCACCCTGCCGTGAGTGTCGTGTGGACACCGCAATGCCGGGGCGAGGGGCAGCTCCAATCTTACATGCTTCCCGTGGGCACTTCACAGTTGTGACGCTTGCGTTGTGTTCCTTGTTACGGCTTGACCGCTGGAGCCTTTCCCAAGGAAGTGGAAAGGTGGACTCGTGCTCCCTTTTGAGGATAAACCAATCCATGTGAGGGTTCCACCAGAGCCAGGAGCACCTCCCCACAGGCGCCTCAGCTGGGGGGCAGAGTCCCCTTTGGCGTGTAGGGATTCCACCTAGGGCTGACGAAGCCCCTGCCTGACCCCCTGGAAGGCCGTTGTGGTGTGGTGACCACACACTGCTAAGAGAACGGAGGGCTTGACCCCCGTATGTTTTCATCTCAGCTCGCGTTTCCTTATTCAGAAACATGAGGACTGGAAACGTGCTTTATCTTTAGGACAACGGCAGAGTGGCTGAGCACACGCTTTCCGTCCAGAAGGCCCCAAGTCTGTTCTCAGCTGCATCTCCAGGGAAGGCTGCAGAAACTCCTGCCTGAAAGTCTGAAGAGCTGCTGCCGCCAGTCAGTGTTGGCAGCACTGGGTTAGATGGGGCGAAGGTCTCATTCAGCATAAAGCAGCTTTATTCCTGTACCCAGCTCTGAATGGAAATGGCCAGTTAAAAGACCCAGGTCATGTGCAGCTTTGCAGATCTTTCAGCTCGCCCTGACTCTCTCGATTGTGCCAACGAAGCTGCGAGAGAGGCTAAGCCTCCCCAAGGAATTCATCTGAGGAGACCAGAAAATGGTCGGACTCTCAACCTTTTCGAGACATATACGAATTGAGAAGTCCTTTCTCCATGTCTGGATCCCTGTGGAGCCAAAAGAGCGCCAGGCAGCCGAAGGGGACAGAATCAGCAAGCCTGGGAGAAGCCCGACCGTGCCGAAACCACAAGGTAGTAGATGGTATACCAAAGTTTTACATAAATACCTAGAAAAGCTGGGGGAGGGCAAAGCATTCCCCCCCCCCCTCCCGGCCCCACCAATGGGCCTGGAAGCCACACAGTTTTGAGTTCGTAGGAGCTGGTAGGAGGAAAAATCAGAGGAAGAATAATGGGTCATTGTAAGCCGTCTAGGAAGGCCTCGGCAATTATAGGCGGTCTATAAATAAATGTAAATAAAATAAATAAATCAGGGGAACCTGGAAAAGCATGTGGCTCACTGAAGCTCTGAATGCAGCCTCTTCAGCACTGTGACATTTTATTGCAAGTTCCACTTGGAGTTCCTTGTCCTGGAAATAAACCATCTGGAAAGCCTGAATATCACCTTCCCTGTGGCTGATTGGGAATGATGGGAATTATAGTCCAATACATCTGAAGGGAAGGGACCTTAACGGACAACAAACCTCACCTTTGCCCAGGGCCTTCCCTCCTTAGGATAAAATATAATTCTATGCCAAGACATCCAAATGTTCTCTTCTGTATTTTTTCTGCTACTTATCAGACACGATTTGGTTGGGGGCATAGGAAGGACACAGAGCTAAGCCAAGCACTGAGGCCAAATGCCTGAAGGTATTACGCAACGATCAGCTTCCCGGACTTCATCAGGCGCTGCTGACATATTGCAAGCATTTCCTCATAGTTTCACAAGGGCTAGAAACTTGCTCTCCAAAGGAAAAAGGTTGCACTTCATGCTTATGAAATTGGATTCTGT